GAAACAAACAATTTTGGCCTAAAATTGACTTATTTAAACTTATTTTGAATATTATTCCAAAAATTCATCTGTTCCTGAAAAAAATTAGTTTTTCAGCGTCTCATTTTTTCCTGAAAATTAGTTATTTATTAATTAAACTAAAAATTTTTTTTTTCAAAATTGAAAAAAATTTTTGGCATAAAATAGATTTAAAATAAAACTTATTTTGGATATTATTGCGAAAATTCATCTGTTCCCGAAAAAAATTAGTTTTTCAGCGCTCAAAACTTGAAGAAATAAAGAGCAGGAGAAAATGTGGGAAGAAGCTTATAATTATCCAATTACAGATTTTTTTTAATAATTGTTTATAAATTTTCTTTCATTACATAATTTTTCCTTAAAAATTATTTATTTGTCATTTAAATTGAAATATTTTTTTTCAGAGTAATGCTCAACATTTTAAATTTAATTTGGGGCAAGTTTTAGGGGTAATAAATGAATTTTAAACTTAAAAAAAATTAACTTTGTGTATTATTCCTCAATAAAAAAAAGTCATTGTCTCAAGTCCAGCATTTCATGTCAAAATTGAGGCCAAAATGAGAGAAAAAAGCTTAAAACTACCCAATTACTGATTTTTTAAATAACTAATAATATTTCTTGCATAACAATGTTTTCCAGAAAATTAGTCAATTAAACTAAAAACTTTTTTTTCAGTAAAAACAAACAATTTTGACCCAACATTTTAAATTTAATTTGGGACAGATTTCAAGGGTAATAATTGAATTTTAAACTTAAAAAATGAAATTTATTTTGTGTATTTATTCCTAAATGAAAAAAGGAGTTTTTTTTTTAAGAATTTCAAGTCAAAGTTTCCAAACTAAAGGAAATATAAGAGCAATAAAAATATAGAAGGAAAAAGCTTGTAATTATTCAACTATTGATTTTTTAAAGAATTATTGATGAATTTTTTGCATTACAATTTTTAACTGAAAATTCTTTATTTATCATTTTTTCAGAGTTGATAAAAACATTTTTGATTAGAAATGAACATGTTCGACATTTTAAATTTAATCTGGGACAAGTTACTGATTTCCTAAATTTCTTTCAGTGCCTTAACTCAAAACTTAGGCCAGGCAGAACAAAAAAAATTGTAATTATCCAATTACAGATTTTTTAAACAATAATTGATGAGTTTTCTTACATTACAATTTTTCTCTGAAAATTAATTATTTATTATTAAAGTGAAACAATTTTTTCAGAGTTGAAACAAAAAACGACTTAAAGAGGACATGCTCGACATTGTAAATTTAATTTGGTTTCAGGAGTAATAAATAATTCGATTTTAAACTTCAAAAAAATGGAATTTACTTCGTATAATTATTCCTGAATAAAAAACGAAATTATTCAGTGTCTCAAGTCAAAATTAAAGCCAAATTGAAGGAAATGTAAGAGCAAGAAAAATGTAGACAGAAAAAGTTTGTAATCCAATTATAATTTTTTTAAATAATTATTGATGATTTTACTTGCATTGCATTAATTTCCTGAAAATTAGTTTGTCTGTTAATTAAACTGAAAACTTTTTTTCAGAATTGAAACAAACAATTTTGGCTTAAAGTGGATATGTGGATATATCAACATTTTAAAGTTATAATTTAAGACAAGTTTCAGAGGTAATAATTGAATTATAAACTTAAAAAAATGGAATTTGAATAAAAAATGTCTTTTTCAAAGTTTCAAGTCAAAATTTAGTCCAAACTAGGAGCAACATAAGAATAATAAATGTGGGAAGAAAAAGCTTGTAATTATTCAATTATTAATTTTTAAAAAAATTATTGATAACTTTACTTGCATTACAATTTTTTCGTGAAAATTATTTATTTATTATTTAGACTGAAATTTTTTTCAGAGTTGATACAATTTTTTTTGTTCGATTTTAAATTTATTTGAGACAGATTACAGATTTCCTAAATAAAAAAAAATGTTTTTCAGTGTCTCAAGTCAAAAATGAGACCAAAAAAGTGTGCAAAAACAAAGCTTGTATTTATTCAATTACAGTTTTCTTAATAATTGTTTATGGTTTTTCTTGTATTACAATTTTTTCCTGAAAATTACTCATTCAACCGCCATTTCGGCCATTTTTTCGTGAGATCACTTTCCAATGAATCCCTTGTGTAAAATCCCTGAAAAATGCCACTTACTGGTTGCTTTGAAATTTGACGAGTCATTCCCGCACCTCTCCCTGTTATACAAAAGTAGTTTGCAAGTCTTCCAAGGCCCGAAGTATCCCCGTTCTTCGTTTCCGCGTCCTGAAAAAAATTCAAATGAAAATTTTCAGCGTGTATGAAGTTACTTAGAAGTTGTCTCCAATATCGCGCTAACAGAAATAATATAAATGCAAAGTGTGAATCCCGAGGGTCCCGATGCGATGCACATAAAGTATTTCAAATTAAATTCGCCACCACTAAAATCTTTCCTGCCAGATTTTTCAGCCAAATAAAAATTTCAGACAATTTAACGTGTCATAATTTGATAAAAGCTAAATTGGCTTTCAACCAAATGAATTATTATTCACTAACTTTGTTAGAGAAAATGGATTTGTTTATTACTTTGAGAGCAAAATTTTAATGCAATACATACAGGGCGTCCCAAAAATAAGTTACAATACAAACTTGAGTTTTGTAGCATTTTTGGATGTAGATTTTTATGGCAATA